CTATCCATGAGATGCTCGATGATAAGCGTAGAGTTGCTTATTTCAAGAATTACCTTGCCAATGTCGCTCAGGCTATCAAGTGAGCCAACATTTTTCTCTTCATTCATATGTTTACTAGCAACAAGTACTTAGGAAATAGAGTTAATGGCGAAAATTAAACAGTGATGGAGTGGACATAAAGGGATACTTTGCGTGGTCGTTGCTGGACAACTTCGAGTGGGCGCAAGGGTACACCAAGAGATTTGGTTTGGTATATGTAGACTACAAGAACGGTTTAACCCGTTACCCAAAATCTTCTGCTTATTGGTTCATGAAGTTTCTGAGAGGTGATGAAGAGAACAAAGGTAAAAAAGATTGAAAAGAATGAGAAAGGAGAACCAGAGCTACTATTTATAATCACATGTATTGCGTTGTGATGATATAACTTTGTATCAAATTGATTATTAGTTGATGCTGATGGTATAGAGCCATAACAAACCAAAATACTTGGGTTGCTCTTTGGTTTCAGACTCATTCTGACTAAGTTATTATTTTTTTCAAACCTGACAAGTCAGCTTATCTTCTGTGTTATCCTTGGGATTGATATTTTTTTTTAAAAAGCTACTTAGGCTTCTACTGGTTTAAACAATGTGGATACGGTTGCTAGAGTTTGCCGAAGCTAGTTGCAAGCGTTATCTAGGAGTAGGGACTAGAAACGGATCTTATGATGATAGATTGATAGTGGGGACGGTAGTGATTGAATAAGAAGATATTACTAAAATAAATGCTACATATTTCAAAAACTATGTTTTTAATAATATAGACTATGTACGATGGCACATCTTCCGCGGCTTCCATTCATCTTCCTCGGCATCACGGTTTTTGTGAGGATTTCAGGTTATGGGCTTGATTTCTCAGTTAGAAATGGTTGTGTCAATTAGTGGGGATTTGATTGAGGTTTATTTGAGTTTGGTTCTATATTCTGTTTTTCGAGGAGGTAGGAAAGCTTTCGAGCTGTGAGGTTGTTTGGTTATGTGCTTGCTGACATCGACAAAGTATCTTGGATAAGCGTGAAGTAGTGCCTCTATGCTTAAATGTAGCTAGGTACTCCCATTTTTGTGCTGGATTTAAACTTGATAGATCATAGGTTGAGTAGTGTCTTTGGTTTGGCTTCTTCTGACTCTTTAGAAGAAAGGTATATTTTCAAGCTACCAGATGAACAGCTTCTCTTTGAGTTTCAAGTTCTTTATCGACTAATATTGATACTTGTTGCTCCAAAGCTTTAGTATCGACATTGTACCAATTGTTTTTGCTTCTATGTTTTTAATTCTTTTTTGGCATAGGACCAAGATCTTAGGCTATTCATTTTGTTAACACGTACTATAACATCTAAACATTTCATTTTTAATGAATATTTATAACTTAGCAAAAACAAAAAAAAGTAGCATCTTCATCAGCTACTACTTTTTCACTCACATTCATAGCTAACATTATTGAATGTTCAATGTTTTCTTCAACCTCAGAAAAAATCTTCTTACTCTCCTCTTCAGATAATGCTTTTTCATTCTTACCTTCAGTTACTATCTTCCCTGCAACATCTCAACCTTTTTTTTAGTATATACGCTAGTTCTTTGTACCGCAAGGAATCCAAGTAAGCTAAGGAGACTATAGTTGCCTCCACAGAAGCAGCTTATTATGTTGCTTTTTAAATGATGATTTTGCTACTTAATTTTTTAGAAAAATTATGTGTGATGGTTAATAGAGGAACATATAATTTAAAATTATTTAAAAGTAAGTGGTTCTTTTGAAATATGTTTTTTTGGGGAAACAATGTGCTATTTTATATATTTTTGGAAGAAACAATATCTACTCTTTTGGATTATCATGTTGTGATCCGTTTTGGTATTTCATTTTCAGCTACATATAATATTGTCGTATAGTTACTATATTCTCTGCAACATCCCAACCTTTTTTTAGTATATACGCTAGTTCTTTGCACCGCAAGAAATCTAAGTAGGCTAAGGAGATTATAGTTGTTTCCACAGAAACAGCTTATTGTCCATGTTGCTTTTTGAATGATGATTTTGCTACTTAATTTTTTAGCAAAAACATGTGTGATGGTTAAGTGAGGAACATATGTGTAATTTAAAGTTATTTTAGAGTAAATGGTTCATTTGATGGATTTTTTTTGGGAAATTATGTGAGATTTTATATGTTTTTGGAAGAGTAGTATCTACTCTTTTGGATTATCATATCACTACAATAAAAAACTTGTTATACATCATTTACTTTAATTATTTGTATTACTTATAAATGATCCAACAAAATTTAGATCATTTAAAAAAGTGACTCTGAAAATGGTGATTCAAATATTTTGCATCAATTAATTTAAAACCGTTGTAAATATTTTGAATATTTGTATCAATTATAATAATTGATGTAAATATGTGTCAATTGCCAAAAATGATGTTATCTTTCACATCAATTTTCGTAAGTGATTTCAGTATTTGTGACGTTTATTATAAATAATGTTAAACTTAATATCATTTATATAAAAATGATGTTAATTTTAATATCATTTATTAAAAATGATGTTACATTTAGTATCATTTTTAATAAGTGATGTTGATATTTGTATCGTTTATAAAAACTGATGTTAAAATAATTATCAATTTTAATAAACGATGTTAACATTTGTTTCATTTTTTTAAAAAATGATGTTAAAATTAGTATCAGTTTTAGTAAATAATGTTGATATGTATATCATTTACAATAACTGATTTAAACAATTAATGTCGCCTGTTTTTAATTGATATTAACATTTGTGTCAGTATTCATAACTGATTGTAGTAATTGTGTGAGTCAAAACTCGCACAACCAAAAATTTGTTAATGAAAACTAAGGGATCCAAAATTTCTAGGGTTTATCGCAAGAACAGTAAGATCAAAAGAAAATTTTAATTGCTTTGAAAAGTGTTGTCTTATTGCTTAGGATTGCAAAAGTTACATAATGACTCGCATTCATCATCTATTTATACCAATTTTCTAAACCGCCTAGCCGAGAATATAGGAAGAGATTTTCGGAATATTTTCTTATCGCTTCGTGCGGCCACCATCACGATACTTCGCCTAGGGTTTTTATGGGCTTTCGTCCTTCAAGACTTTGGTTCGGCCCAATCTCGGAAGGAAATGGCTCGGCCCATTCTCCTTCTTACGCAGCACGGCCCATTCTCTTTTTTCACATAGCTCGGTCCGTGTCACCCCGTGGCTCGATCCATGTTGCTTCAAGGGCTCGGCCCAACCTGCTTTATGTATAGGCTCGGCTTGCTTATTCACAAAGCTCGGGTTCGTCGACATCATCCGACACTTAGTCATTTCAAAACTGTCAATTCAGCTAGTGTGGAAAACGACCCCAACAGTTAGCCCCCAGCTCGTTGGTCTCGGAGACGAGAGCGATGAGGTATGAAGCTTTGAAGGCTGGATTGACCATACTCACTGATTCACCATGGTGCGGTTTCATCAATCGTTTTCAAGACAAAATGATACCGAGCCGTCATGCTGGTGCTGTAATTTCGGTGAGATTCCGAGCTATTTATCTGACGAGGCGATTAAAAAGCTGAGCCGTCATGGAGTAACAATGACGAGGCGCTCTCAGAGGATGCCGAACCGGTGAAGTGTTTTCAAAAAGGATGCCGAGCTGTATTATTAATGCCGAGCCGTGTTTTGACGCAACGATGAGACGATTTTGCTCGATAACACCGAGCCGGGTTTTAGGATAACGACGAGGCAATGATGCGAGACGCGGTCCACACTGCCTGATGAGATATTCTGAGACAGATGATTGTATCGAGCCATTTTGTTGAAGGTGAGGCGATTATGATAAAGGACACAAACGGGTTTTCCCAATATATTTTAAGATGACGAGGCATTTTTTGCGAAAGCTATGTCGAGATTAATAAACGGCGAGGCGTTTTGTGAAAGCTATGCCAAGCCGAATAAACGACGAGGCGTTTTGTGAAAGCTATGCCGCGGTATTTACGAAAGACTCAGATTTACCGACTGTTGGTTTTCCAAAAGAAGATTCTTGGGTACTGGCACGTGCAAGAAACGCGCCCAGAGTTTGCTCGTACGTCGCGGATTCCACATGCCGTTATTTTGTGGCTTCCCGAGGTTCACGCGGAACTCACGCGCCTCGGCTTGTTCTATAAGAGGACGAATCCCCTTTTCTTCTCCTCATAACTTCAGATCTTCGATTTTAGTAAAGGTAGCTCTCCCTTCTCTCTTCTTTCTCTCTCTAGTTTATTTATTTTCCGGGTAGGGTTCCGAGGCCTCCGCCGTTCCAGATCTTTTTCCGACGAAAATCCGCCTTGTAGTATTGTAGTTCCTGTACGAGCTGTAAATCATGTCGAACCGCTCTGACGATTCTCTAGACCCCATTTTCCACTACGAGCCGAGCCGCATAGATGCCGAGATGAGAGGCGTGACGGGGTCTTCTGAGGCGTCTGTCTCGCTGAACCCTTCCAATCACTCATCTGAAGGCGACAAGGCGTCGAATCGCTCGAATCCCTCGGGTGCTCGTTCTCCAACGAGCCGTCGGTTTCGACGAGCTGCTCCCGAGGTTCCGCCTGTAACAAAGACGTTGATTATGCCGCGGTGAAAGCCGAGGAAGAAGCGTTTTCTTTTAATCCGGTCGAGGCGAGACTTGAGTTAGAACGTCTCATGGCATCCCGAGGTACTTCTTTCTCTGGGCAAAGGCAACACAAGCGAGGGAAAAAACAAAGACCTGGCCCTCCTGGTTCCACACTCTCCTCCCTCGAATCACTCGAGGCGTTGCGACGCCGCTTTGGAATCTCTGAGGCGGTAGAATTTGTCATTCTGGAGAAGAGTGACCGAGCCGAAAAGCCTCCATAGGATCACTTTACCCTGTATGAGGTGTTTGTCGAGCTCTGTTTCCTTTGGTTCCCGATCCCTGGAGTTATCCTCAAGTACCTGTGGAAGCACGGGATCTCAATTGGGCAGATCATGGCGAGGGGCTTGGGGCATATGATCGGTATCCTAGTTCGGGGCTTTGAGTGCGGACTCGACATCGAACTGGATCATCTGCTCAACTTGTTGGAGATCAGAAGGGCTCCAAAAGGAGGTAGATTTTATATCTCCAACAAGTCCAATCGTTGGATTATAGGCGGTTTCCCAAGCAAGGATCAGTTTTGGACCGAGTGCTTCTTCTATGTCTTGGTGAACGAGGCGTCGGTGGGCGAGGACTTTGTTCGAAAAACCAAGACCACTTGGGGACCACTTGGTATCCGATCCGAAGCTTTGCCTCGGCTCGGAGCTGTTATGGTGCGATTTTCTCTTACTAACCTGGTTGGTTTTGTGTTGTTTTGCAGTTCGAAGCATTCTTCCTTCCGTTTCTAACGACCTCTTCACTGTTCGAGACACCCTTGCGGCTCAGAGAGTCAATTGGAGGAAGCACTTCACGTTTGAGAGAGTGGAAAGAGCGCGAGCCATTTTCACCGGGGTATCTGTTAGCTCTTCATCTTTGAATTCTTCAGGGGATACAAGAGAGAAGATGGTGGTCATCACTCTTAGAGACAGTAAGAGGCGTGAAGCCGAAGAGGCTGCCAAACGAGCCGCCGAGGCGGCTCAAACGGAGGCCAAGGCTGTTACTCGAGACAATCTGCCAAGCCGTGAAGGGGAAGACGCGACCCGAGCTACGGAGACAAATGTCACTGAGGCGATTAAGAAGGGGGTGGCGCCCGAGGTGGAACCGGGTGAGATCATCCCCGAGGTATCCAGAGAGGATTCCGCGGCTCAGAGCAAGACGCCGTCCAACTCGGCAATTTTGGCCCTCCCAAAGTCGTCAAGGCCCCCGGCTTCACATCTACAGAAGCATGACGCTGGTTGAAAACGATCAGCTACCGAGAAATGGAAAGGGGTGGTCGTTCAGAAAGACAAGCCGTCCAAGAAGAAACGCAAGCCAGTGCCCGGTGATCACGCGTCGCGCAAGCCGGTCGTTGACGACCCAGATGCCTCAGCAGTGATGTTTTTGCGTGTTAATAATGCCAACACGTGTCTTCCTCCTCCCGATCAGCTGAGTAGACCGAGATCCTACGGCGCGATGGCACAGCGCGACATCAAGGTTTCTTCTGTTTGTTATTCCTTACTCTTTTCATATCGAATTTTGGCTAAGTGTTTAACTCATATTCTCCTTTGAAGTTTGTGGCAGCTATCAACGAGCTAATGGCTGAGAACGAGTCGGATTTGTCCAAGGTTGAAAGTCGTCTAGATGAGGCTTCGAGTGAGACTGCGACAGCGAAGGGAAAGCTGGACGAGGCGATGGTCAGTGTCAAGAGGCTAGAAGAGGAGAAGATAGCTCTTCGTGCTGATGTTGACAAGGTGTCATCCACAGTCACTTGCCTCGAGGAGGCCAGGAGAGCCAAAAGCGCCAAGGTGGCGTTGCTCTAGAGGCGTATCGAGGCCAAGGATGGCTTGTTCGATGCCAAGGTCAAGCGTGCAAAGAAGGAGGCGGAGCGTGAAGAGGTGAGTTAGTCTTTTCGCCCGTATCGCCAGATTCTGTGGATACCTGCTTGGGCAACGAGCCGATCGATGAGACGGCAGCTAATCTGGGTGTCGGAGATCCAACCGGATCAAACGTGGGTATGCCGGCTCTTTCAAACCTCTTCGCCGAGCGAGAGACGCAGACTGTAGCTTGACTCTTTCCCTCTCTCCCTTGTCTTTTAAATGCTCCTTCTTGTTCTAAGTGCCTGGATGGCTTTATCCACTTTTCGAACTCGTATATATATTTTTTGTGATTGATGCCTGGATGGCTTTATCCACTCGACTGTTGTTGATCTTACTGGTGGATTGATTTGGTAGTAATTATATCTATCTCTTTTTAGAAACGTTGGTTTTGCCTTAGTGGTTTTATTCATTCTGAACTTTTCGAGGAAAACTCTTGTTGGACCGAGTGGTTTGTCGAGCCTGGTCAAGAGTGCTTTTGTTTTCTTTTCTGACCGAGCTGTTAGGAAAGATTGATAGATCGCTGGAATAAAGGATAGACTATTTCGGTTTTCTAGGTACCGAATAGACCCTGTTTAAGTTTAAAGATCCCGAGCTGGGAGGTATGTCTTTGTTTAGACAATTTTCGCAAAAGAAATTGACGTCCTTTAATGTTTTCGAACGTTAGTGCCGAGGTGTTGAGTTAGAAAGGAGAAAGTGCGTAACGAGACATTTTAATTTGGGTTTAGTTTTGGCGTCCTGACGTGCTAAGTTTGAATTTCTCGCTGCCGAGGTTCATGTCTGAGTAGACGGTATTGGAATTAGATCGTAGAACGGCGTTCCCGAGAGGGTGAATGTGTTTGCCGGGTTTTAAGAGTTCGGCTTGGTTTAGAGAAAGCGATGTAGTCTCGATTTATAATCTCGTATGCGATGGTGAACCGTGATGACGAATACGTTCTTGGTCTGAAATTTGTATAACGCGCTTTATTTTAATCCGTAGATGATGTAACTTGCACCCTCGTCTTAGGAAAGGTGGTAAAAGTCCATTTAGAGAACTTTGTGATTGTTGTCTCGGTGTGGCCAGCAACAAGGCGAGGTGTTCGAAGCATGGAACGTTTTGCCGGAGCAGAATGCAAGGACATGTAAAAGTCTAGGCGAAGTGAAAAACGAGTGGTTAAGTGAATGAAAACGAGTTTCTCAAAAATTTCCAAAGTGACAGTAAGTGAACGAAAAATCTTGCCGAAGTAAAAATTAATGAAAGAAAAATTAGAACAAGTGAATGAAAAAACTAGCCAAAGTGAAGATAATCTTAGAGACAGAAGACTTGCCGAGCTAAAAATCTTAAAAATGATGTAAGTATAAGTATATATGTACCCACTCCCCCCCCCTTTTTTAGGAGGGGGGACAGTTGAACCCATCAGAGGACGGGCTGCCTACGTACCCTTTGCAGGGATCAAGTCGTCTTGTAGTTCATGTTGATCATGTTGTAGTCTTAGTAATAATACTTCTTTAGGTGCATTGCGTTCCACGATCTGGGAATTGCTTCGTCAGCTACCGTTGCAAGTTCGTAGACTCCTGCGCGAACTACTTTTGTAGTTTTGTAAGGGCCTTCCCAATTTGCTCCGAGCTTTCCTGCATTCCTCTCTGCAGTGTTTTGGAAGACTTTTCGAAGGACGAGCTCTCCTTCTTTAAATATTCGGCTTCAGACATTTTGTTGTAGTATCTTGCCGTTGCTTGTTGGTAGTTATGGATTCGGATTAGAGCCTGGTCGCACCTTTCGTTGATCAAGTCGAGCTCATCCAACATCATTAAGTGATTCAAACCTTCCTGTCTTGGCAAAACTCTTTGTCGAATTTTGGGGAAATCCACCTGGGGGGGGATTACGCACTCTGTTCCATGCCGGCAAATGATATTTTTCCAGACGAAGTGTTCGACTTGAGCGTCTTTTATGCTTGCGTAGGAATCGGCCTCGACCCATTTAGAAAAATAATCTGTAAGAACGAGCAGAAAACGCTTCTGCTTTGATCGATGTAAAGGCCCGACTATATCCATCGACCATCTCATGAAGAGATAAGGTGACGAAATTGACGACAACAGCTCGGTAGGTTGATGAATTGTAGGCGCGTGCCGTTGACAATTCTCGCACTTTGTCGTAAACTTTTCGTAGTCCTTGACCATCATAGGCCAGAATTAACCATGCCGTCTTATCTTGATCGCTAGTGATCTTCTACTAGAGTGATTCGCGCACGCGCCGCTATGCACCTCGTGCATTATCTTTCTTGCTTCAGGTCCTTCGACACACGTCATTAACGGTCCTGAAAATCTCCATTTGAACACTTTGCCGTCGACGATGACGTATCGTGCGGCTTGAGCCCTTAACTTGCGGGCCTCCCACTTGTTGGATGGCACTTACCCATCGGCGATGTAGACTCGGATAGCTCCGAACCATTTCTTGTCGCAGCCGTACTCCAGCTTGGCTGACGAGGTCTTCTTCCATAGCGATTGCTTTGCCGTTCTCTGGTTCTTCCTCGGGAGGATTGATCAGCCGAACTCCTTCCACCTCCTCTATGCTTGGAAGTTTGATGAATTCAAGTGGAATTGTTCGCCGGAGATTCGGGTTTGAGGTCGAGGCAAGTGCTGCTAAGGCGTCCGGCGAGGTGTTTTCGCCTCGGGGTATTCATGTGAGCTCGAACTTGTCAAACTTTTGTACCAAGTCTTGGACTACTCTGAGGTAAGCTCCCATTCTTCCATCCTTCGCCTCATACTCTCCGTTAAATTGATTTGCTATGAGCTGTGAGTCGCAAAAAGTTCTTTTTTTCCGAACTTTGATTCCATGCGCTAATCGTAGGCCAGCCATCAGTGCTTCATACTCTGCTTTGTTGTTTGATGCATGAAAAATTAGACAGAAAGACTGCTCCAAGATCTCTCCAGTGGGAGAGGTGAAGCGAATTCCTATTCCCGAGCCGTGCTTAAATTTCGTCTAGAGTTGGCTCGGTTGTCACTTCGGTCGGAAGTTCGACAAGAAAATCTGCGAGCACCTGGGATTTTGCAGACGGCATATTTCGATACTCGATGTCATACTCGCTCAGCTCTATGGCCCATTTGGCGAGCCTCCCAGATTGGCTAGGGCTGTGCAGGATCGAGCCCAGTAGAAGAGTCGCGAGCACAATAATCGAATGCGATTGGAAGTATGGACGCAGCTTGCGAGCCGATACTACGACGGCTAGGGCCACCTACTCAATCTGTGGATAATAATTCTCGGCAACGGTCAATGTTTGACTGACGTAAAAGATGGATTTTTGTTCGGATCGGTCCTCTCTTATCAGTACCCCGCTTACGGCCGTAGCGGATACAGCAATGTAAAGGAAGATGGGATTTCCTTCTACTGGATTTGCCAAGACCGGCAGGCTTGCTAGATAACTCTTCAATTCCTGGGAAAGCTGCTTCGCATCGCTCGTCCTACTCGAACTTCTTATTTCCTCGGATGATGTCGTAGAAAGGCAGACACTTGTCGGTGGACCAGGAGATGAATCGGTTTAGCGCGGCGACTCTTCCTGTGAGCCTTTGAACTTCTCGCTTTGTTCTTGGAGAGGGCATCTCGATTAAAACCTTGATCTGCTTGGGGTTCGCTTCAATGCTTCGGTGAGTCACTAAATAGCCGAGAAACTCTCCCGAGGTGACCGTGAATCTGCACTTTGCCGGGTTTATTTTCATGTTGTGCTTGTTCAATTGCTCGAAGCATTCTCGTAGGTGCATGATATGGTCTTTTTCTTCGATTGATTTGACCAGCATATCGTCGATGTATACTTCCATGGTTTTTCCGAGCTGATCTGCGAACATCATATTGACGAGCCGTTGATATGTTGCCCCCGCGTTTTTGAGTCCGAACGGCATGACTTTGTAGCAATATGTTGCCCCCGCATTTTTGCTCTGTCGTCGGGATGCATCAGGATTTGGTTGTGGCCTGAAAATGCGTCCATGAATGTCAACAACCTATTTCCCGCAGTGGCTTCGACAAGCCGGTCGATGTGCGGCAGAGGAAAACTGTCTTTTGGGCACGCCTTGTTGAGATCTGTGAAATCTACACAGACTCGCCACTTGCCGTTTTTCTTTTTCATGACTACTGGGTTGGCGAGCCAGTCTGGGTACTTTGCCTCGGCGATTGATCTTACTTTGAGCAATCTTTCCACTTCATCGTTGACGGCTTTAGCTCGTTCAGGACCGAGGTTCCTCCATTTTTGCTTGATTGGTTTGAAGGTTGGGTCCACATTCAGCTCGTGACATGTCACATAGATGCTGATGCCCGGCATATCCTCCGCTGTCCAGGCAAAAGTGTTTATATTCTCCTTGAGGAAAGAAAGGAGTTCATTTTTCAAAGGTTTTTCTAGCTTAGTTCCGATCTTGACGCGCCTCTCTGGATGCGCTTAATCTACACACATCGAGTCCACCGCATCACATTCTGGCTCGGTGTGCATTTCGCGGCTCTCGGTAATCGGTAATTGCTATAAGAGTTTTGAGAGCTCGTTCGCGGGCTCTCGATCCGTCTTCAGCTTCTTGCGATCTACGTCTGCTCGTGCGTCAGTGACAGGGTTCCTTAACTTGTGCTCTATCAGGAAACACATTCGCGACTCCTTCTGATTTCCCTAAATCGTTTTGATGCCTGCTAGAGTCGGGAATCAAAGGTGATAGGTGGAAGGGATAACCCTCATCGCGTTTATCCATGGAGTCCCCATGATCACGTTGTAGATTGTTGGGTGATCGGTGACGGAGAATTCGACGATCTTAGTGACTCCCCCGGCCACCATGGGGAGTCTAATTGTGCCCATGGTCATTGTCGTCTCTCCTGAAAACCCGGTTAGAGGTTTAGGGACTGTCGCCACCTCGGAGAGGTCGATTCCCATCCTTCTGAGTGTCTCCCTGAAAATAACGTTTACCGAGCTCCTGGCATCGATGAGTACTCTCGCTAT